AGGTCCCTCAGGGTGGTTTGGCATCATAGAAAAGCAGAAACCAAGGTGAGAAAAAGTCAGTCTTTAGATTGCTTGAGGGCCTCCCAAAGGAAAGAGCCAGCTAGAGATATCTGAAGTGGCTCTGCCACAACCTCATGACTTCCTAATGCATTTTGAAATGAACAAGACCTTCACCTCGAAAAGGGCTACGCCGTAGCTGCTTAGATTCAGTCCAGCTCTCAGAGTTTGGACTGTTGGTGGGACTGAAGGCTGGTGGGGAGTATATTGTCTTCTGCTTTCTTAAGAAACAACTCTTTGGAAGCTGAGCCAGGTACAGGATTTTTATCCTGGAAGAAGTCAGGCCAAATAGTAGGTCTTCCATCCCCTGAAGATGACAACAAAAGCTTATCACTACTGTAACTGGTTAGGCTGGGGAGATTGGATAGTTTGGAGCTGTGATACAATTAGGTAAAAAATGATATTGTGCTATAGTTCTATTTTTTTACATTTTGGATTTATTTATGTGTATGAATGCTTTGCCTACATATATGTATGTGCACCACATGTGTGCCTGGTGCTTATAGTAGTCAGGAGAGGGCATTGGATCTTCTGAAACTGGAATTACAGACAGATGTGAGTCACTCTGTAGGTGCTGGGAACTCAACTGGACTCCTCTGCGATAGAAGCCAGTGCTCTTCACCACTCAGCCATTTCCTCAGCCCCAACATGATGGTTCTGGTAGAGCACATGCATCTCAAGTAAGGGACAAGGTGACAGTGTGGTGGATCTAGGTGTGCATTTTAGTGTTTACACTCTCCTAATTAAATTCCAGACTGGCCCAATGACTAGACTACTGTGAACAATGACTGCAAGAATAAGGCAGAAACCAAAATAATCACATTTCTTTATATGACTTCTGGGGCATGGGCACTTGAATTATCCAGAAATACAGTTTCTATCTATAAAGAGAACATCCTGAGACCAATCTTCAGCAAGGCCTAGTTTTCAACAAGGGGCAATTCTTTCTGAATCTCAGCCCAGAAACCTTTTAAAACACAAATATAGCCATTTTAAAAAAAAATCTCTAGAATGTCCACTGGTAGTTGTTATTTTATATGGAGGCTGCTGGTATCTTTGACTTGGGAACTGCTGCCCAGATCTGAGCCTTTGCAAAACCATAATGATGGCGACATTTTCTGTGCCTCTAATCTCTTTTTCTTGTTGGTGTTCCTTCTGACTCTTCCTCAGACATGCATTGCTCTCATGGAACCTCTCATTGTTTACCTGGTCTCAGGAAGAAACAGGACCTATACATTTAAACTGACATAGGTTGCTAACAGCTCAAATCACATTTCTTTTAGAACTGGGAACACAATATTAAGGGAAGAAATGCATGGACTTCATGGCAAAAACTGACCCTGAACGCTGGCATTTTATGATAACTTTATGTATGTTTTCTCGTTTGTGCATTTTTTTTTCTTGTTTAGATTCAACTGTCTGTGAAAGCAGACCATCTCGTCAGCATCGCTTAATCCTTCTTGAAGCACTGATAAAGAGCTCAACTTTTCCTGGGATAGCTCTTAGTGCTGCTCTTAACCTTTGAACTAGAATAAACATTGAATAATTTCCCACTGATATTTGCTGACAACCAAATTCCTTCCAAGGCTGAGGCAGCCTGTGACACCCTTTGGAGGAGAAATGTGTCTCCAGTGGTTCCTCTTTCTGAAGCCTTTCCCTGTCTAGTAGAGGCCTTCTAAAGGGACACTTCTGAAGTAGAGATTTCTCTTTTTGTCAGACGTGGTTTCTATGTATCCCTGACTGTCCTGGAACTCACTCTAGACCAGGCTGGCCTCAGACTTACAGAGTTCCTCTTTCCTCTGCTTCCTAAATGCTGAGGTGAAATATGTGTGCCACCATCACCTGGTTGACGTAGAAATATTACAAATGGAATGAAATCTACTTTTTATCCTTTTTTTTATTTTTGGCTTTTTGAGATAGGGTTTCTCTGTGTAGCTTTGCGCCTTTCCTGGATCTTGCTCTGTACACCAGGGTGGCCTGGAACTCACAGAGATCCGCCTGCCTCTGCCTCCCAAGTGCTGGGATTTAAGGTGTGCACCACCACCTCCTGGCCTACTTTCTGTTCTTTACCACTTACAAAAACTCGGGTATTTGTGCAATCATTTTGCCCAATAATAACATCCAATTGGATCCATTTCCAAAGGGTGTAGATATACAGCCAGGAAATTCCAGAACAGCAGGAGAATTCAGACTGATTTGCTCTGACTCCAGACATATGAGATGGTGTAGGCCCCATTCAGGCCATCTACTCAGATCCTTAGTGACAGGAATCAAGGTATTTTCTTCAGGTGCAGAAGTAGGTAGTATTAAAACTAAACCTGCTGCCAGCAGGTGATGTCAAAAAAGAGTTGATGATTCTCCTTGCTAGAAAATGTCACCCAGCTCAGTGGGGCACACTGAAACCCTATATTAGATGACAAGAAAATTTTACCTCTTTTTTTTTTCTGTTGCTAGGAATAGTCAACTGCTAGATACTTAGTGAAAAAACTACAACTGCCTTAGCAGGCAGAAAAAGAAACCTTTTAGATTCCATGTGTGTTTTACCCCTTGTAGAGAACAGACTAGGTGTGAACATAAATCATCTCAAAGTTCTTTGTCTAGCTGGGTTTGAATGAAGGAGGGGTTGGAGGAGAGAAAGGGAAGAAGGGAGAAGAGAGAGAGAGAGAGACAGAGAGACAGAGACAGAGACAGACAGAGAGAGAGTATGAGAGGCAAGAAATGAAGATGAACTATATTGTATTATTGTATTTCAACACAACAATGGAATAGAATTTCAGAGCTAGGAAGGACTTTGCTGTGCTATCCTGATCTGTAGACACGTGATCTTGTATTAGCCATCACATCACTTTTTGGATGAAGAAACAGAGGCCCAAGAAGGGGAAATATGTTACCCAAGCAGACTCCATGATAAAAGGCAGTCCCGGGATTAGAGTCCTTGGTTTTTAAATTTTTCTACTATATTTCCATTCCCTTTACAGTCAGTCTCTTAAGCATCTATGACCTAAAGCACCTTGGTAGACAATTTTACATCTTAACAAAATCCCTAATGACAGAAATTCTACAAATTCACGTTTGTGTCCCTGTGAGAAAGTACAGGAGAAAAATCAAATTATGAAGAGAAAGGTTTATTTTGGTTCATGGCTTCAGTCAATGGTTGCTGGAGTGTTGTTCTCAGCCTGTGGTAGGCCAGCACAGCATGGCAGGTAACCATGGGAGTGAAGGAGCAAAGGGGAAGAGAAAGGGGGATAGGATCCTAGAGTCTTTTTCAAGGGCATGCTCCCCATGACCTAACTTCCCATTAGGCCCCACCTACGAAAGGTTTCATTACTTCCCAGTAGCACCATGGGCTGGAGACAAAACTTCTAACACATGGGCCTTGGTGGGTACATTTTAGATCTAAGCTATAGCACGCCCTGTGCAAATATATTCCATTGCCATTTATGGTTAGAAAGTACTATAAAATAAATAATTCGAAGATCTCTTCCTATGACATATACTCATTATTGTTCAGTTCTCTCCCTAGTGGAAATGAATATGTTCATTATTACTTACAATATTTGAGAAATGTGGACAGTCTGTGTGTGAGCACAAATATCACATATATATGCATATGTAGCCAATAATTTAAGCTCAGATAGGCTAAATGACTCCTCATGACAAACCATACCAGAGAAATAGCATATAGGAGGCAGAAAAGACTTAGGCTTTATCTTTGTTTGCCTTCTGCGTGATAGCAACAGACTGACTCATACATAGAGGACAATCTAGCAACTAAATGTCCAAATCCAGAGATACTCAACTTACGTAGTTCTCAGTTAGCCAGGCTCAGTTGCTAATACTCTTCCTAGAAGTGATAATCAGGGAGAATATAAGTCAAAACTGGATATTTGCTTTGGCAGAGAGAGAGAGAGAGAGAGAGAGAGATTGAGATAGAGAGATAGAGAGACAGAGAGACAGAGAGAGATAGGAGAGAGGAAGATAAAGGAGAGAGAGAGAGAGAGAGAGAGAGAGAGAGAGAGACAGGCCACAACTAATCCTGTATTCTTTACCTTCATCATTTCTAGTCTAGGGTAACAAGCACTGATGATTGAAATGGTAATATGATGGACAAAAAATCAGCAATGCAAGGTTCAAGGTGTCATGGTGCATGCCTACAACTCCAGTACTCCGGAGGCTGAGGCAAGAGGATTAAGAATTTGAGGCCAGCCTGGTCTATACAATGAGACTTGTCTTAAAAACAATGAGCTAAAAACAAAACAAAATAATAATGAGCTCAGTCTAAGAAGATCTGGTGGTAGAGTACAGTTACTCATCTCTACTTTAGCAAAAAAATAGCTTCTTGTATAAACTGAGCATTATAGTGCACTTCTGTAATTCCGGGACCTGAGACAGGTCAAAGACAGGCAAACAAAGATAAAGCCCATGAAGACAGGAAGAGCAGAAGCTCAGGGTCATTCTCAGCTACACAGTGAATTTAAGACCAACTTTGGATACCATGAGACATTGTATACAAAACAAAAGAGCCCCTCTCCTTCTCAGAAGATCATCTTTTCAATGGAATTTCAAATTTGGGGTGGAAGATGTTTGCAGTGTTATCCCTAGAGAAACAGATCGACTGGATTTATCCAAAATGTAAGTGAGGTGCCAAATTGAGTAGCCAACTGTGCATATATCCCCCGAGGCAAAAATATTGGCTCAAATATTTTAAAACATTTTCAACAGATAGCGAGAAAGTTATGAAATTCAGTAACCAAGTCTAGAATACCGGCTTTCTGTAGACTAAGACTACAATCAGAATTGTTCTGGAAAGAAGTCAGTTGAATAACTGACTAATGTATATTCACTGAGGCAGTCAGACTGTTTCATTGAACTTGCAATGGGCTGCACATCACTGTGACTTCTCCAGAAACCCAGGGAAGCCCCGTGGTAAAGCAGTTACTCACGGCAATAAGCTGGTAGGAGTTGTTCATCATGGCAATGAGCATGTTCAGCAGCACTACCAGGGAGATCACGTTGTATGTCCCAAACATAGTAGCTCCCACAAACTCGGTGAACTCGTGTCTGGCCTTCACATTAGTGACATAGAGATTTAAAAGGCCAAATACAGACCAGAAGAGTGACTGAAGGGTTTCAAAGAGCCTAAAAGAGATGCAAGAGCAGGTTAGTTCTCTGAATAGGAGTATAAGAGAGCAAGCATGAGGTAGTCTATAAGAGGGCAGTCAGGTTTGGGATGGGTAGACTGGCATGCTTGTGCATTTTAGTCTCTTAACACAACAGCATAGCCAGGACATTTCATTTGGACACATTGCTTCTTCTTCCTGGGATATTATCTCTCCCCTCTCAGTGTGCTGGTAACCTAAAAATGCTCAGAGCTTATTTCACAGGCCACTCCCTCTATTAAACTATCTTCCCCACCTTCAGACCATGTTATCTACTACTTTCCTAATTATTTGGGGCCAGCAAATTCAGAGCTTAAGAATATGGAGCTTTGCAAGTTGGAGGGAGGAGGGCTGGAGAGAGAGCTGAGTGGTTAAGAGCACTTGCTGCTTTTCCAGAGGACCCAAATTCAGTTCCGAGGACCACACCACAATTGTCTGTAACTCCAACTCCAGGCACTTGCACTCATATGCCCACGCTACCATAAAGACACACACACACACACACACACACACACACACACACACACACACACACACCTACATGTAATTAACACGATAAAAAAATCTTTTTAAAAAAGTAATATGGAGCTTGGGCTATACTGCACTATGTTGAAATCTCAACTGACACTTTTTTTTTGCAAGTTGTCTTCCTCCTCTACCTTTCTTTTGATCCTGAGCATGGAATTTAGGGCCCCATATGTGCTAAATATGATCTCTACCACTGAGGTGTACTTCAGACCAAAATTGCTACTTGTGATTCTCACAGAGCTCAGATGGTACTAAGCTCAGTAGAAGAGACTGATGAATCTCAAAATAAGTTATAATTTTTAATGATATATACATTAAGTATTATTAAGAACTCTCTCTATAAGCATATTTTACATGTTCTTTTTAAAAGTCTTGACATCTCCTGGTTCACCTGGAACTTACTGTATGTACAGACTGGCCTCAAACTCAGAGATTTGCCTGCCTCTGCCTCCTCATCGCTGGGATCAAAGGTGTGGCCACCACACCCTGGCATGTTTTCCGTTTTTATGAATAATTGTTCTCACGACTCATAAAACTTTACTGTGAAAAGCAGTGGCTTTAATGTTAGAATATGACTTACTAATGTATAAAGTGATGTGTGGCACTGCAAATAAATTGGAAAAACAGGTGATGGGGACCTTGGGGACAAATTCAAGAGAAGATTTTTATATGATAACTAGAGGATTCAAAATCTGTGGAGGAAATATTGACTTTTAAATGAATAAGAAACCAATAAATTCAAGAAAAACTTTATTATTATTGATGATGTTGCATTCGGAGATTGATTGGCTCAAGGACACTCAGCTAGTAAGTGCTGAGCCAGAATTCAAGGGCAGGTCTTTGTGACCTCGCCAAGCCATTACATCAGTCTCTATTAGACGGCTTTGCAAATTATTGCTTCCTGTTTTAGTTTCCGTATCCAAACATGGAACTTTGTAATGATATACTTTTGGCACCTGGGGTTTCATCTGTCTTGCATTCAGAAATCTGCCTACAGCAATATGGTGCAGTTAGCTCATGGGTGGCACATAAGTCATTTCCCAAGCACGAAGAATTGTAGAACATAAGAAACACTACTCTAAGAATGAACATACATTTTCATTCTTATGTTTTGTTTGTGAAGAAAATGTATTGTTCTTCATTTACAAGGTAGAATCAGGAGTATTAGGAGTTCAATGTTATCCTTGACTGCATAGATATTTGGAGGCCAGCCTGGTCTACATGAGACTGTCTCAAATTGGAAAAAGAGAAGTTAGGCCCACACATCTCTTTGGCAGTGCTGAAGATGGAACCAAGGCCTTGTACATGCTATGTGAGTGCTTTAGCACTGAATTATACCCCGAGCCCAAGAATTTGTTTTCTTTGAAAAAAAGGTCTTATCTCTTCGGATTGCTTTAGTTCATTTGTAATGTACATATAATAATTATAGGAATTTGTGGGATAAAGTTTTGGTCCAGGTAGATTCTGTGTGATGACCAAATCAGGTTAATCATCATCTTTCCTGCCTCTAGGATCTGCCATTTCTTTGTGGTGAAACATTAAAGTCTGCTCTTCTAGCTAGTTTGGAATATACATTGTCTTTACCTAGAGTCACCCTACTGAAGACAAGAACTCCGGGCCTTTTTGCTCCTATCTTAGGGCAACACTGTTCTCATTGGCGAAGCTTTCCCACGTCTCCCTCCTCCTTTCCTGACCTTTGATAGGTACCACTATGTTCTAGTACTAGACTTCTAGAAGCTTACTTTTATCCCCATTTCAAAGCTTACATTTTGTTTGATGCAAGTAAATACTAAATGATGGGGCATTTGAGACTCAACAGTAAGATGGGAGTCTAACGTTCAGGGGCCAGGACATGAGAAGCAAAAAGTATGGCAAGCGCTGGGATTCCAGGTCTTTGCCACTGTACTGACTTACACAATGCTGGGAGTAGAAGAGAGGGCTTTGTGTGTAGAAGGCACACACTCTACCAATTGAGCCTCATTCTTATCACCTCTTCTGAAATCCCAGGAGGCTGGAAGTCAGAGCTAAGCAATCCGACGCATCACACAGGCCAGCAGAAGGCTAAAATAATAGGGAAGTAGGAGGTGCAGCAATCTAGTTCTGTTAAGAGGGCACAGCACAGGTGTTTTTTTTTTTTTTTTTTTTACAGATTTGAAGCCGGGACCATCAGGACACCATTAAGGGAGCAAAAATCTAGCTCAGCAGTTGGATACTATAAGTTAAGGCAACTAGGGCTCAGAAAAGAAAAGAGAAAGAGCTACGGTAAATAGAAATGACATCGTGAAGCGCCAAAGCTTGTAGAGACTGAATATACTCAAATACAGAAAACATTGCACAGCACATAACAATGCCACAAACAAGGCAAGTATGTAGATAGGGTCTGAGTTATTTGCATCTCCTGCATGGACTATGTTAAATTCCTTCACCCACTTCCACATCTGCAACCAATAAAACATCAGTGGTTAATGTTGATACAGAGTTCACCGCCACTTGTTCCATTGGCTCATCAAAGATTCCCTAAAAGTGTACAACTGGGAATTTAAAATCGACCTTATGCATGAAGTTGTACAAGAGGGGGGAAAGGAGGAATGGGTAAACTCATTAACCAAGTTTTAGAGTTCTAATACCAGTAGGACAGCCTTTCAGTTTTAAAGAGATTCTTTTGGAGAGGCCAGTCAGCTCATTTTTATTTAGCAGCAAACAAACGTATGGAAGAAGCTAGCTCAAGAAGGGCACAGACTGAGGATACCAAGTTTCTAGGAGACTTGATTATAGCCTCTACACACTTGATAGTCGAGGAATGGAAGGCAAACCCACACCAGGTGCTTTAGGAAGAAAACTAGCATGTGGGGAGCCATCCACAATTAGATCACACAGCTAAGAGGGGCACAGGCAAACAGGGATGGGGGCTGCAGTTCTCTGGACATAGGGTGCAAATCTTAACTTTCTGAGAAGCAAATAATCTTCCAAAGGGAAGGAGTATGGAGAAAATTTACCGGTCTGGACCTAATTCAGACCAGAGAAGAAAAACTAGAAGGTGAACTGGAATAGAATGGCTGCTTGGGAGAAAGAAATGACACCCTCTCATGTTCCACAATTAAACTGGATTTTGCTAGTCCTAATAGAGGAAAGGACGGTTGAGGCCCTTTGTTGTCATCCTTATCCTTTCTTCAGTTTGTGGGACCTACTCTTTCTCATTCTCCCATGCCCCTGATAAGATTCTCTCTAGAAAGAATGTGCTTTTCCTGTGTTCCACTTGGTCCAACTTTTGTTTGACTTTCTGGGCTTGGATAAAGCCTCATCGCCTTTGAATGACTGCTTTAACTACTTTCCTACAAGGTAGGCTTAGCTGTCCTTCTTTTGTGCTTCAAAGTACTCTAGTATTAGGCTGCAGAGGGACACAACAGAGTGGAGAGCCAGTAGAGGGGAGTGACTAAGGTCAAACTTTACAGCTCTCTACTTACTGGCCATATAACTTTGCTAAAGTTATGGAACCTTTGTAAATGTTAGTTATCCCTAAAATGCCCACTGATTGCTAACATTCATTGCACTCATCCTGCGATAGCTAATCTTTCTTTTCTTTTCTTTTGAGACAGTGTCTCATTTATCCTAAGCTGGTCTCACATTTACTATGTAGCCAAGAATTACCTTGACGTTCTCTATCAGCTTCTGTCTCCACCTCTCCCATGCTAAGATTACAAGTGTGGATCACCACACCCAATTTACGTAGTGCTTGGGTAGCAAGCAGTCTACCAATTCAGTGGTATCCCCAGGCCCTCTTGTTAATTTCAAAAGTAGCATAGAAAGTAGTAGGGATCATTATGACATTTTCATAATACACACCATGCTTTATACTTATTTATGTAGTGGTTAATACTGATTATATTGAGAAGCACCTACCAGACCGGTAAGGCACTTGTCTTCTGTGTCTATATTTTCAGATAGGATTAACTAAGTGGGAAAAGGTCTGTCCTGAATGTGGTGAGCACTATCTCATAGGCTGGAGGCTCAAATACAATAAAAGAGGGATGAGGAGAACGCCTGTAAGCACAGATATTCCTTTTCTCTGCTTCTTTTGTCTCCACGGTATGGGCTGCTATGCTTATCATGCCCTCCCTGCCACGATGTACTGAAACTACAAGTCCAAAGAAATCTTGCCTTTAGTTGTTTGCCAGATCATTTTTCACAGTGATGGAAAACTAATGAGTGTACTCTATGCCAAGCATCTTGCTAAGTGTTTTGCATATACTAAAGTATTCTATTGTAACCTTATGAAATACTGTCATTCTTCATTGGCCAGCTAAGAAACTGAATACCAAAGAGACCACATGTACAGCAAAAAGCAGAGGTAGAAGATATAACCATCTTCTTTGACTCAGGCCCCAACATTTAATCACCTTACTCTAGTCCCTTTGAGGCTTTATGGAATGCCCTCATCACAATGTTTAGCAT